CAATAAAAAGTGATTACTGAAGTTGCTTTTAAATGGAGACTAATGACCTCCATCATTTTTTTTAAACTTTGATTTTTAAATATCTTGGATGGAGTTGCACATAAAATTGAAATGATTTTACATGATTCATGACAAGACAGAGCTAACTATACCTTTCATTTCTTTAGTTACAAGAGATAATGCCATTGAATGTTGCAATTCTCATGTTATAGTTCTAGCTTATGAGCAAAATTGTTTATTCAATTTGTGGTCTTTCTGTGCAATGTAAATTGTATTGATAATAATTATACTATTATTGCAACCAGCTAACTTTTATTTCTTTTTTTCTTGATGAATTATTTTGAAAATTACTTAAATGTCATAAAAATACTATTCATTTTCTTATGTTTATATATAGCTTAACTTTTTTTTCTTGAAGACATCAAATGAAATGACTGATCGAAATCCTACACAAAAGGATGCATAATCAATTCCTCAAGTAAACAAAAATGGAACAAAAAATGAAGTTGTGACTACTATATTAAAAAAGAGATGATTAAACACATGGTTGGAGGTATGGGACCACTTCACCAAATTTACTAATGATAAAGGTGATCTCAAAACTAGATACAATTATTTTGATGGAGAATTTTATGTTCACTCTAAAAAAAATGAAACATCTACATTAAAGAATCACAAGGATATTTGTATGAAATTTTCTCGTGCTAGTGGTAATCCCAAATAGAATTAGTTTTTAGCTCAAAAGGAGTTGGGTCTTTAGGTACTTAAAAGTTTGATCAATATGTCATTAGGAGAGGTATGGTTGAGATGATTATTATAGATGAGTTACAATTTAAAATTATGGAAGCAAAAGGATTTAGGCATTGTATGTCTATTATATGTCCTACATTGTGTATACCATCACGATGGATTGTAGTTAGGGATTATTATCAAACTTATATAGATAAAAAAACTTCTCTAAAACAATTCTTGAAATCATCTTCTACAAGAGTATCTCTTCTCACTTACACGTGTATCTCATTACAAAGAGTCAATTATAAGTGTCTCATAGCTCACTTTATAGACAATGATTAGAAATTTAACAAAAGGATATTAAACTTTTGTCCTATTTTTAGTCATAAAAGTGAGGCTATTGGTAGAGCAATTAAAAAATGTTTATGTGATTAGGGGATTGATAACGTTTTTACTATTATAGTTGATAATACTAGTTCTAATGATGTTGCAATCTTATACTTGAGAAAAAAATTTAACAAAGCAAGAACTAGTATTGTAAGAGAAAAATATCTTTATTTGAAATACATTACTCATATTGCAAACCTTATTGTGAGTGATGGGTTAAATGACATGATTGATTCAATTGCTCATGTTAAAAGGGCTATTAGATATATAAGAAAATCACCTTCTAAGTTAGCCAAGTCTAAAAGAGTGTGTGCCAAGGAACACATTCAAAGTAAGAACTTATTGTGTTTGGATGTTAACACCAGGTGACATTTCACTTATTTGATGTTGAAACAAGCTCAAAAGTTTGAAAAGGCTTTTGAGGTATTTGATGACATTGATTCTTACTATAGAAGTAAGCTCTTATTGGGAGATGGAGTACTTGATCAAAATTATTAGGTAAGTGTTAGAAGATTATGCATTTTCTTATAAAAATTTTATAACCTCATAATTAAAGTTTTACGCTCTTTATATGTCACATCTAATAATTTTCTTTAAAATAATTGTGGTGTTTATGGTATTTTGCAAAATTGGCAATTAAATGTTGAGTTGAGTTGAGTGCAATGGCTAAAAGAATAAAGGATAAGTATGATAAATATTAGGGAAATATAAACAAAATGAATATGTTACTTTATATTGCTTCCAATCTTGATCATAGGAAAAAAACTTACTTTTGTGGAGTTTTATTTTATGAAAATGTATTCTTATGATCACATTTTAGTGATGATAAAATAAGTGCAAAAAGTAATAGGTGAGTTATTTGACAAATATAAAAACATATTGCAACCTCAATCTGAACAAGTTGGTGAAAGTAACTAAGCGAGCCAAGTTACAAAATCCACCTATGAACTTGGAACTAAGAATCTATGTGACTCAAAAGCTATTATGATTGAGTTTAGGAGGTTTAAGAAACAACAAGGTAGAGAAGAGAATAAATCAGAGTTAGAGAAGTATTTGAATGAAAAGCCTAATGCTATTAAGGAAAGGGTAGAGTTTGATGTTCTTCTTTGGTGTAAACTCAATAGTCATAGGTTTCCTATCTTTTCTCATCTAGCTCATGATGTATTGGTGGTTCCCCTATCTACAGTTACTTCTAAATCCGCTTTTAGCATAGGTGGTCTTGTGCTTAATACATATAGGAGTTTTTTAGCTCCTAAACTTGTGCAAGCTTTCATTTATGCTTAAGATTAGTTACATGGATCTACAAATTTCAATCCAAATATCATACAGGATGAAGTGGAATAACTTGACAAGATTGATTTAGGTAATTATTTTATTTTTACCACTATTTTTGTCAACTCTTATTTCTTTAAATCTTTTAATTACAATTGACTTTTTGTTCTTTTTTGTTTATGCATTTTTACATTTATCCAATATTGCATTAGACCCTGTTTTTTATTAGTAAAGTGTATTAATCAATTGAGATAACATAAATAAATTTTTTTTTATTTTTTGCTTATGTTATTTTTTTTATTTTTTGTTTGTGTTTTTGCAATGTAATTAGTAAAAAAACATATGGGGACCTTACAATATCAATGCAGTCAATGATATAACATGGCATATACTGACTTGAAACTTGAGTCTTCCAACCTAATTGGTTGAAAATGGTTAGGAACTCATTGCCTTGTGATTAATGTTAAGAAAGCTCGTATGCCAAATATGAAAAGGTGAAAGGGTGAATTTTTTTACTAAAAATGCAAATTTTTAGTGCTTGAACTACAAAGTTAGAGTTGAAAAACACAAATTTTTTTCATTTCAAATTAATGTTTATACTATTTTTTGAGAGTAAAGTCTCAAATATTACTAGTCAGTGCCTATATCTTTTTCAAAGAATGATCTAGGTTTAAACATGAGCTGGGACAACCATTGTTTTAGATTTGTTTCCTTAATCAAAGAGTGAAATAGCCACCAGCCACTGCCCCCATTGTAATAGATTGAAGATAAAACCAATTGATATAATTGATGGCTTTTCCAGTTTTGCTTGACTGGTAGTGGCATATATATACTAGTCACCTGTTTTGCATTATTGAATATATATATATATATATATAAAGAGAGAGAGAGAAAAGGTTTCTTCTACAAATATTGATTACATTCTTTTAATGTTAATTTGTTTCTTTATTATACTCTTTCACACAGAATTGTTTTAATTCCAAGTTTACAAATAATATACTAGGCTTTTGGAAATGGATTTGGTAAACTAAGTTTTAAGGCAGACATGTTGGTTCACACTATCAACTCAAGTTCCCCTTTATTTATTTATTTATTTATTTTGGAGCTTTTTTTGCTCACAAAGACATCAAACTTAAATCTTTCTAACTTGTCAAATTAGCGTAATAAGACATTATCATTATCTCCCAAACTTCTAGCTCGTACATTTTAGTTCATTTTTTCTATTTTATTTTTATTTTTTGATCTAATTGTTTTTTAAGCGATGCAATCATGGTTCATTGGTTTGCACTTTACACTCCAGTCAAGAAGGAAAATGTATTGTTGTTGTCTGCTAGATAAATTAATGTTATTTAAGACTTAAACTTCATAGATTGTAATTGGCTTAGTATTGTTGTTGATGCTAGTGATAGATAAATTAATGTTGTTTAAGACTTCAATTTTATGGATTGTCATTTAAGTTTGTGTTTATGTTGTATTATATTTTTGTTTTTATTTAAGTATTGTTAACAATATTTGGCTTTATTGGATTATATATTAAGTATTTAAATATTGAACTACCTTTAAATGAATTACATTAAAGGTTTAACATAGAAAACAAAAATCAAAACTAACTTAAGAAAATCGATCGAAATCGATCGGTTTTAATTCAATTTACTTTTTTTTTTATTTTCTTTACATACATTGGTTGATTCATTTTTATAATGAACTAAACCAATTAAGTCGGTTATTCAATTTTTATGATTAAATTAACTAAATCAATCATTTACTTTATCCTAAAAAAGAACATTTTGGACCAGCTTTCATTGCAGATAAAAAACATTAACATTATTTTATTTTAATTATAACCGTTATAATTATTTATTATCAATTATTGTTACTAATTATTTATTTTTCTTTGTTTTTGGTCAAAATCAAGGTTATTTCAACTAGGCCGTCGCCTCCATCCACCATTTTATTCTTATATTTTTTGTTATTTTCAGAATCTGTGTGCTGTAAATTATAGAGTGAGTTACGATTTTATTCTTTTTCTTATTTAAAAGAAAGAAATTTCAGAGCGATGACAAGAAAACAGATGTACAAAAGTCCAAGAAGCATAACTTACGCAGAACCCACCATGTCGGCCTTTGATCCCACCTCTTATTTTTGTATTATAGTTTTTGTCTCCCTTCAATAGTATAGTTTCTTTGGACAACAAAATATTACTACTCCAAACTTTTCTGATTATTGGATGCAATTTTTCAATATATGAAAAATTGTTAAATATATTGATAGTGAAATTTTTTAAATTTATAAATATGATTTAAAATATATTTAAAAAATAAATAATTTTTTAATTTTTTAATAATATTTATAAAATTAAAATTTTATATTTATAATATATTAAATATTAACTTTTAAATATATATTATATTTTTACAAATGCAAGTAATATATATATATATATATATATAATATACACAAATTTTAAAAAATAATAATAAGAGAGAAAAGAGAGAGCGAGAATTTGTCGGTGCTTGCTTAGAGAAGATTTGTTTTTTTTTTTTTAACCAAGAATTGAGTGATGGGATGATAAAGTCTTTCGATTTTTAATTAAAATAATCATCTTTAAATATAATAAATAAAAAAAATTTTCAATAAATGTTTATTAAATTAGTTCAGCCCTGCTTGTATGTATATCTCTTTTTAAATCGAAGTTCCTTTCGCCGCCCCGAGTTCTCAACGTACTCATATTTCTCACCACTTTTGAACTCATTTCATAATAATAATAGTAAGCTACTCCACCAAACCATCACCGCCGCCGCCGTGCTATCCTCTGTCTATTGCTACCGAAACAGATGGACCAAAAGCTGGCAGTAGAGATAGACCAAATGCCTCCACGTGGAATTCACCACAGGCGGGCCCACTCCGACACGACCTTCCGTTTCGACGATCTTCTCCTCTTCGACCCTTCCGACCTCGATCTTTCCTCCCTCGACCTCCCGCCTTCCTCCTCCAATCCAACTCCGCCACCTGTCATCCCCGTTCCCGCTGATTCCTCGGACGACTCCTCTTCCAACGGCCACCCCTCTCGCTCCTCGCACACCAACCCTAGGCATATCTCTTCCCACCTCCGTAGTCTTTCTGTTGACTCTGACTTCTTCGACGGACTCGGGTTGACTGGACCCGCTATTTCCGGAGGAGCTGGAGATGAGAAATTTGGCGGGAAAGGAGGGGTGGGAGAGAAGAGGGTTCACCATAGGCATAGTAACTCGATGGATGCGTTGACTACGGCTTCGTTTGAGGCTGAGTGTTTGATGACCGTTGATGGCGTTAAGAAGGCTATGGCTCCTGATAGACTCGCTGAGCTTGCCCTTATTGACCCCAAGAGAGCTAAAAGGTGGAATTTTTTTTCGTGATAGTCTCTCTTTGTTGCTAGTACTTTTTTTTCCTTTTTAAATTAAATTAAACTAGGTGGAATTTTTCCACAATTTATTTTTAATCAATTAAAAAAAGAAAGGCAATTATATGGTTTTTCTTCATCGTCATCATCATCATCTTGTTTCCATAGACTAATTTTGTTTTTGTTTTTGAATTTTGATTTGTTCTTCACCAAAGACGAGTGTGTGTTTGGCCTCTTCGGTCAACCCCTTTTTTTTATTTTCATTCTTTTTTTTTGTCTTTTTGTATGTAATATAGTTGTAATTACTTTCATTTAATTAATTTTCATACTAAATGAAGTTGGTTTTGTGCTGTAGGATTCTGGCTAACAGGCAATCCGCGGCGCGTTCAAAGGAGAGGAAGATTCGATACACGAGTGAACTGGAGAGGAAGGTTCAGACTCTTCAGACAGAAGCTACCAATCTCTCCGCGCAGGTCACAATGTTACAGGTAAATGCACTTTATGCCTTTTTGGTTTAGCTTTACAGTTTTACACCTCAAAAATATGATCCTTTGCTCCTTTCTAGATTGTGAACTTTCCAGGTTCATGCATTCAAATGGTTTTTCTTTTTTTTTTGGGTTATTTTCCTTGTTATAACATGATACCTCAATCATTTGTAAACGGTTTTCCAATTCCAAGGTTAAAGTCTGCTCTTTGCTAATTGTATATATGCATGAAACACATGCTTGCATATTCATTTATAGGTCAAATCACATATGAGATAGTTGGAATAATTGTTGGAGATTTTACCCATTTTATTTGGCTTTTTATTTAATTTAGTACTTGAATTTCAGAGAAAAATTTTTCTGTAACTGTTTTCAACTTCCAAATACTCCTTTTTCGTATAGATACATAGAATTCTCTTCATTGGAAGAAGGGTTAAATGTAATAAACGCCTTGTACTGCTTCTGTCTAACCTAATTAATGTGCCACTTGCCAGTGTCTTTAGCCACTTTGCACCTTCTCAAATAGTTTCATTGATTCTTTTATGTTACAAATTGTTTTTCTGACACATGTAGTTACCTTAGATAACAGTCATTGATAAATCCTTTAATAAAATGGGGAAAGAAAATAGATATGATGCTGAAATAGTTGTGTACCTTTTTTATCTTCATTCATTAGAAATAATTTTCCATGCTTAAATTTCTCTGTCTCTACAAAGCAGTTCATGATATCCACCAATTTTTGTATTAGAGGATGTATGCCAATATTGCTTGGTCTGGGATTGTACTGTTGAGCATGGGATGTGTCCAACACAGGTGAATTCTAGTTTTTAAGAGTTTTTCTCTTAATATTCTGAGGGCCAGATCGTTGATCCCTGATGCCCTGCTCTACTTTGAATCCAGGTGTTCAATATATTTTAGGAAAAATGAGAACTAACATAGGTGTATTACAAGGCAAATGATCCATTATGTTTGGTAATAAAATCTGAGTATTTAGGTTTTTTGATGATTTTAATGCTTCTAGGGTGCTTCACTGTAGCGCAGCGTGTATAAGTGGAAAACAGTATTTAACACTCTTGAGGTGGATTATGCCATATTAAATGCTGGGAAAAGGCAACTTTATGCACTTTCTTTAATTATGCATAGGAATGAGGGGAAGCATAATTCTCCTTTTTGGCATAGCTTTTCAATTGTTCCATATCGAACTTTCTTTGATTCTGCTACCACCATATAGGCCATACATATGCCAAAACAATTGTATTTCTGAGATAAAATAGGGTCTGTTGGATTGGTTAGTTTCAGCCTATGACATCTCTAAAAGGGTGTCTGTGGATTTGGTATATTATAAAACAGCTACTAGATAACTATCACTTACTTTTGAGTTCTCGAAATTGTCTGTAATGCCTTCAAGAACCTAATATTCAGTTGACGAACCAGTAGAATATTACTATCTAATTAACCTTTGTCTGTTCTGTATGTGACTGTGGCATGTGGATGCATTTCAGTTCGTGATAAGAGATGTATACACTGCAAAGCAGATAAGCCACTGACTTTATCCATCTTTTTCTCTAGGGCTTGAATGAGGAAAGAGCCTATTCCTCTAGTTTTTTCTTCTTGTTAAGGCAAAACAAAACACTGCACTTTCCCACAAGTTTGTCTCTTTTTCTCTAGGGCTTAAATGAGGAAAAAGTGCGTCCTCTAGCTTTTTCTTCTTGTAAAAGTAAATCAAAACAGTGCACTTTCCCTCTGCAGATCTTCCTGCTGATTAGCCTCTCTATGTATACTTCAACCTCATAGATAGTGCAGGAAGCAGTACACTTACAGCATGGTTAACTTTTTATGGATAAAATCCTGAAATTTTAAATTTTGTCTTCCAGATGAATTTAGTATAAAGAGATATTCTGTTTACTTTGATCTTTTCTACCTCCAGTTAGTTTAACCTTTAAAGTTTCTTACAAGCATGTATTTGGAAATTTCTGCTTTACGTTCCATATATTAATGGTTGTTATCAAGCGTATCAATGTGGCTTCTTATTAGATTCCATGGTGATCAGCTACAGATGTACCACAGGATCAGGAAAGAATAAGTAACAAGTAAATAGAGGGAAATCAGAGAGGGTGGGGGGGGAAGACAAGGAATAAACAGAGGAAAACTCTGAGAGAATTCTAGAAACAACAGAATGAAAAGAGATAGCTAGGGAAAAATCTCAATTCATTATTTCTCAATGAACCAAAGTTACTGGAAACTGAAATGAGATAAGTACTTATTGGCTACTCCCTAAGCCCTGATACTCGGAAATCAAGCTAAAATAACCTACATAACTTAAAATATGCTGAATATAAATATTACAATTTATCATATAAAACATAATTCTAGTAATATCATAAAATCCATAGTTGTTTGATTGTTCAATCAGCTTCTTTTTTGGCCCTCTTCTGCTACTTATCCAGTTTTACATTCATAAAAGATTAATCTAGTCAATGTGCTATTTTAAGAATGAAGAGTATGCATGGGTCTATTTACATGGCTTCCTTTGGTTTACTTGATAATACTCATGTCTTTGTCTAAATTGTTGATTGATCATTGATCATAGATGATCAGTTTGCTGGGTGCCCTTGCAGATTGCTTGTCTTGATTTCGGTTTTGCCTATTTGCTTTGTCTAGTTTGCATGATTTATCTGATTTATTTCACTGGGGCTGCTCAGTTATCATGCACCTAATGATATGACTGTATTTCTAGAGTCCTATCTGACTTATTTCTGCTGAAGTTGCTAACTTGGAAAGCACCTGTTTTGCATCTTTGAGGCTCTAATATTTGTTTAGTGCAACTGCAGTGAAGGAAGGGAACCAATTCTAATATAGTTCTCCTATGATGCAGAGAGACACTACTGGGTTGACTACTGAGAATAAGGAACTCAAACTACGGATACAGGCTATGGAGCAACAAGCGCAGCTTAGAGACGGTATGCATGCTTTCTCACATTTTTGCACTACATACTTCAATTACTCTGGTTGCTGGGAGCATCATAAATCAAGCGATCACTTTTTTTTGCGCATTCATCAGTTACGATGAAGTTGGTAAAACCATCGAAACTCTGCCATTTCAGTGTCAAATGATTTCATCATGCGGATGCAGTGCATTTCATAATTTAATGAAACAAATTATAAATTTTGAAGTGTAAAAAAAATGACTTAGTTAATATGGCATGTAAGAGTATGACACAGTTAAATCAAAATTTAGAGGTGTATGGAAAAGGGATTTTATTAATTTGTCACATTTTTGTTTTCATATGGTTTTCAGATGCCCTATAGATAATGTTAAAATACCATTTTTTAATGTAACCAATTCCTACTAGGTCATCAAATAGGTACAGATAGTTAACAAATTAGGCTTTGAAGATATATTATTTATTTTGTATTTAATTTTCTATGGTTGTAGCTTTAAATGAAGCATTGAGAGAAGAAGTACAACGGCTCAAGATAGAAGCTGGTCAAATATCAGCTATGAATGGAAACCCTTTCAATAGAGGACTACCTCCTCAATTTTTACTGCACCAATCTGCTTCACATCACTTTTGTGGCCACCAGACCCCACAGCAGCAGCAGCAGCTACAGATGCCTCAGTCATCCACCAACGATGGACAGCCGCAACCTTGCTTCATGGATTTTGACCAGATGGCTTAGTTTCATGTTGGAAGCTAATCCTTTGAAAACATAAGAAAATTCATTCAAGGTAGCATCTTGTACAAAGAAATTATGTATATATGCATTGCAGCTTGAGGTTGTGAGAGTGTTGCTCGGATCAGTCCGTTTAGTATCAGTTTCACATATGGATTTATCACCATTAGAGTAGAAATGAATGTTAAATGTGTTGTTTAGAGAGATTAGGTCCTAATTATATTGCATAATTGATGGCTAGATGATGTTATAACTAATCGTTATATTTGTAGAATAATTTATCCTCTGGAGATGGTATATGACTTCGATGTATGAATATGTTTTCCATGGGAAGGATACCCCAAAGGGCAGGCTACAGACCTAAAATCAAATCAAAGAATGACTGATAATATGCCTTACACCACCAAAGTGAGCAGCAACTTTAAATTTATTTGCTTAAATAATATATACTGTAAATCAAGTTATTGGAGGCTCATTGTGGTGAAATACTGTCACAACAAATTCAGCTAATTAACGAAACTCTCTGAAGGGCTACAATTTTACCATGGTATCCAAGAAAAGCTGCCCCGAACTGTTAGATTGATGGTTTTATCATGACTGCAACAAATGACCAGAAGTATTATGTTGGTGCCAGATTGCTAATTATGCTTCTTAATTTTACTTAATTTACAGGCCTACAACAGCAGGAAAGGTTGGTCAGTTAACCTGGATGTTGTTTCCATCCACCATGACCCTGAAACTTTCCCCTATCCTCAAAAGTTGGATCCTTCAGATTTTATGTAAGCAATCAACGGCAGAAGTTTCTTTTCTTCTCAGTTGCAAACTTACTATTCAATTACAGGCAACTATAAAAGCCTTTCAGCTTTCTGGGATTCGCTAATGTGCTCTGGAATGAACCTGGCTAAACCGGAAATCGGCATCTTCATCCATCACATGGTCTTCACATACAAGTAAGATGGTATAATGCTTAACAAATAAAACTCTTAATATTTCTAAATGGTTAGTAAGGTAGAGTAGCAGGTTGATATCAGAAACCTTTGAATTACGAAAGCAGAATATAATAAATTAAACCAATTTGAGATAGAAATTACAGTTGAATAATCATTATTTATTTTGATCATTTTGTTAATTAAACAGTTGTCTCTGAATTATAACAAAGTAATCAATATCACAGGAGGAGACTTCTGGAGAGAGATGATTCTGTGCAGCCAAAAAACAAGTATCCTATCATGGTTGAGCCACTGTGAAACTTTTCATACTGGGATCAAGAATGAAGCAAACAGATGAAAGGCAGGAAAAAATGCTAAAAGCATGATTGAATAAATTCAAGAACAGAATTTTTTAAGTAATTGCACATTGTTTCGAGTGTATGCATCTTTGTGATATAAACAAGTTCATTAGTACATATAAAGATGAGCCTCAGCAAAAGAAACGGGAATCTCGTGATAATGCTTTTAACCTGGACACACTTGAAATTCAGCCTAACAATGGCAGATTACAAGGCTAGGACTGGACACACCTGAAATTCAACCTAGGTCTAGGAGTGAATAATGGTAGACGACACGGCAAGGATAAGAAAGTTATCACCCTAACAGATTCTGATTTTTTTTACAGCCCATAATTTTGGGTCCTAAGTTATTATGAAAAGCATCAAACAATGTTTATACGTGAATATCAGTTCTTAAGGGAAATCTATCATTACATGAGCTTATCTGGATATCTGCTTGACTAAAAATTCAAGTCCTAGTAGTCTTCAAACATAAAATTCATATTACTACAACTCGGATCACAAACAAACTATTAGCTGTCTTATTTCGAAGTTCATCTAGTAGACCTAATAATTTGTGTATCTTTATTGTGTTTGTGTTGTGTCAAACAAAAAAAAAAGAAAAAACACGAAAAATTACTATGTTAAAATCTTGTCAACATATCAAATACAAAACTTTTTTTTTTTTTTTTAATTTTTGTCAAACTCATACAATTTTTGTTAAAAATTTAATCTTTATTGCTTTTACATCTTCTTCCGTATTGTTTTAGTGTATCAGTAAACAAGAAATTTGTTAGGCATTGCTATTAACCAGAACATTTAAACGATACATGCAAGGAAAAAAGGAATAATGCAAAAGCCTTATAGTAAAAGGAAAAACTTCTTAATCAAATCTAGATTGCACTAAAATCAAATGTCAAGCTACAAGAAAACAGAGGAATAATTCTGAAAAATAAAAAAGAATCATTTCGTCACTTGTGCAGAGAGCAAGCACAATTCTCTTTCCCTATATCTGCTGCAATACAAGGAGGCTGAACATGTTCTTCTTGATACCAAATTGATCGTTTTTCAACTAATTCATTCAAGAAGACATCCAGCTTCTCGATGGTCACATTAGGCATCACCACCACATGGGCTATATTCCTTTCACAAGCAAGTTGCCACCTTCGAACAAACTCCACATCCTGGGGCCGCTCAAACACAACCGTACTGCTGAGTTCATTTAGCATAGCACCGATCCCAGCCCCACGCAGTCGGTCCTTCAAATAGTGAGCATTTCTGAGGCACTTCTGAACTTCTTTTTGAAATCCTTTGTAACCTTTTTTGTTGAGAGTATACCACAGGAAAATAGGAGCATGACCATTTCGACTTCCCATGATCGTAGCATCTTTTGATGCAAGGTATTCAACATTGCTTGAGAGCACATTGATGTGCTCCATCCTTGTGATCTGAACACCACAAGGCATTGGACAACCCACAAACTTGTGGCCGGATACACTCACACTTCCAATGGGCTTCTTGAAAGTAACCTTTGGTGCCTGTTCACCACCAAGAATGATATCAGGTTTAAGAGGTAATAGCTTCCATAAGACAGAAAAGTATGTAACTTAGTTAGATAAGAGTTTGAGAAACAAACTTATAAGATTATGCACAAACTCATCATCTACTTCCAGACAGGATACAAGCTTGATAGCCGTGTTCATTCCTTTATGCTTCTTTTAAACATATCAACAAACATTAAACCTATTAGAAAGTTAGCAGTGTTTCACCCAAAGCAGGAAAGGAATCACATAATTTGTCCTGCTGACCTATGGTGGGAAGTACAAAGTCTTAATAATCTAAGCAACACTATATAGACGGACTATAAGCAGTGATAAAAGACTCTTATGGTACTTCATCTCTGTTCTTCAGGCCAAATCCTGAAGTACTTCATCTAGCCCTAATTCAGTTTTTTATAATCAAATCCAGAGGAGACAAATACCATATTACATTCGACAACTTATTCACGAAAAAGTTATAAATTGGCAGAACAAAAGCAGTGTGCTTATGCCTCAGAAGGTATAAGTGATGGAAAGGATAGTTGACAACCGAGCTTCGCTATCTTCCCTCAAATCCACATTAAAATAGAGGCTGTACATGTGAAACTTACCCGTTTGATGAAAGGCATCATGAGTCCGAACAAAGCTCCATCACAATGAATGTAGAACTTATCATGTGAAAATCCACATTTTTCAAGGGTTTGTATCACAAGATCAAGGTCATCTACAGCTCCTTTTACAGTTGTTCCTGCAGAAAACATTATTTACTAAGTTATTTCTCTCATTTGAAATCTGTGACACTGTGAGGATGTATATGCAAGAGAAAGAGAGAGAGAGAGAGAGAGAGAGACCTATGTTAACATTGATTATAGCTGGTTTGTCCTTGTTATCAAGCAACTTAACTCTGAAATCACTGCAATCAATCTCACCCGAGACTAGAGTATGAACCTTCACACACACCATTCGATACATTCGTGCTGCTTTAAAGATAGAGTAATGTGACTCCCGTGATGCATACAAAATCCCATCTGGAAACACTTCCCTCCTGCAAAAACCAATCATCAGTCACTTGCGCTTGTCAATTAGCAAAAGATTACAATGTTTGAAACGTAAGTAACCATGTTTTAAACAACCACTAACCCAACTAAAATTCCATGAAGATTTCCTTCAGTGCCACAATTTGTAATGTAACCCCAGAATTCGTTCTTCTCTATTTCCCACAAACGGGCAAACCAATCCAACACACCAACTTCAAACTGCCTTGAATGAACTCCGTAGTTGCTCTCAATAAATGGATCTCCAAGATTGTTGATTGAGAAATGCTGTAACTGAGCTAGTGCACCATAATCGAAGTCCAGATTATAAGGATAGCCTGAAAAGCTTTACTTCAATTAATAATCCATACGTTTCAAGGCACCAACGAAAGTCTACTGGAGGATCAATTTAAGTAAAAGTCATTGGAAAATTAAGTTAACAATTTAACATATGATTATTAACAAAAGCAAAATCTGCATTCATAATTTTAGAACAAAATAAATGATTTCACATTTTTCATAAAACAATTATTATAAAATCGGTATTAGATTTCATTTATTTCTTCATTTTTAGTTGATTACAGTTTTGCTTAGTTTCAACTACGCACCTGCTTTTGCATTTTAGCAACTTTTTAAATACCCGAATTATAATAAAAGGCAACGTAATCCGTTAAGAAACAAAAACAACGTGGTAACTCTCTCTTTGTTTCACCATTTATTTGCATAATAATCATAATGTTAAAAAATTAAGACACATAATTACCCTTTTCTTTTGCAAACTAAATGCATGTAGAATCTCTCAATGAAACAGAAAATGAACTCAAACATTTTTTTTTTTTTTACCTAAATGGTGCTTGGTCCGCTCCATTAGGTTTCTGCGATATCTAGCCAAGACGGCAGCCATGTAAGCCTCCTTGTCACCGGTGAACTCATCGTTAGTTTCCGGCTCCGTAATGGCCAGGCACGTGCTGTGCACGTTCCTCCCCAACTCAATCTCCTTGCTTTTCTTCGTCGGCTTCTCCACGCCTTCTTCCTCCTCCTCCTCGGATTCCCTGGGCCCACCATTGGCTACCGTAACAACAGGAAGCAACGGTTCCACCACCACAGCCGGTGGATCAAAGTTATCCGTCAAGATCTCCATCTTCTCTTTCACGTTTGGCGACGCTGTTTCGATCTCCACGGGCCCAGCCATGATTTTCTATATTACAACAGAAAACAAAACGTGAAATTTGTGAATAAAAGTGAAGTTAAATGAAAGTTGATCTATGGAGCATGAGAGTTGTTATTCTATTTACAGGCGGTAGCCATTGGTCTCACTTTGGGAGGACAAATCTTATATAAAATTTTTTGGATAAAATTTGTGAATTTTTTTAATAAAATAATTTAATAAAAAACTTAAATAGATAAGTTGATAAAGGTTAACGTCAAAATTAATAATATATTAAAAAATAATTAAAAATATTATTTATAATTTAAATTTAATTAATATATATTTTATGATAAAATTTTTGTTAATATTTTTATTAAAATATATATAATTTATTAAAAATTTTTAAAATTTCATAAACTTAATTTATATAATAAAATTTTTCAATCTATTAATTTGATATTTTATTGTATCCATATAAAAATCATTTATTTGATTGTTTATTAATTTCAACTATTAGTATTAATGTCTAAATCTTACAAATAAATTTTGAAATATAATAAAATATTTAATGTTATATTTAAATTTTAAAAATTTTTAATATAATTTATAATATTAACTTTAAAAATTACTATCAATTATTAATAATAGTGACTGAACAATTTCAAAGACCGACCTTTCCCATCAAACCATCCGACATTACAATCGAAATCAAACTTCGGCAAAGCATTAAAATTGTCAGTGACGCGTGGCATCACAGATATTTTGGATTGTAGGGTTCAAAACATTTAATGAAATTTCAATGAATTAAATAAGAGGGCCGAGCAATGGGGCGTGATTCAGCTAACCTTTTGTGAATATGAAAAGGAACCATGAGGGGAAAATTTGAAGGTTCTCTGTTGGATTGAGATGGAGTCACGTTGCCGGTAAGTTGCTTGTCTGTGAAAGAAAACGATTGTTTTTATTTTTAATTATTTAATAATTATCCACGTGTTGCCCAAATTTTGTCGACTTGTTTGTGTTTGATGTTACTGCCTCATAAAGTATCCACAGGGGATCAGAAAACCAAAGGAACCCAATCTCGTTCCCTTTCCTCTTTTTGTAATCAGTGTTGGGGAAAAATTTATCCAACCCCAAAAGAATCAATAACTTAACCCATCACATCAGGTCTTTAATTTCTGGATTCAATGTTGGTTTTGCTAAACATTATATCGTCCATTTTATTGCATCAAAACAAATGCATTTTTATCCTATTTTTTTTCTTCTCCAATGTAGTATACTCATAATTTGTTATTACTTAAATCCAAAGATTAATTAATGCGCTTAATCAAACGCTTGGAAGACCAAAGTAGTTTCACAAAGTATATTTTCTCTTGGATCAATAATCTCTCTTGTATTAATTATTTATTATTAAATTCAATTTTTAATTTAATTAATTCATAATTTTTTAAAATAATATCTGAAAATTTTAAAATTTTAATTTTAATGTATACAATTTTATTTTACTTTTAAATTATTATCTCTTTTACATTAAAAAAGTAATTTAGTACTTTTTAAAGGACAGAATAATGATCCCAACACTTTTATATGTATCCTTGAGACAATATGAAAGCGTTGGGCTTGGTAAGAATTTTAAAAGGACATGTTTGTCCGACTCTAGCAGTAATAAAACTTTTGGGACGTACCGCCACTTCCATGTGTTTTTTAAGTATTAGAACTATATATCATTATTTATTATAGATATTTTCTTGCTGGTCTTGAATCCTGACACCAACTTTACTTCTTTCCAATTCACTCAATTAATGCAGCATCACTACATTACTCTCTGTCAACGATATTTTTTTCCCAAAGCTGCTCTCTACACGAATTAAATCCCTTAATAACATCTTCAACCTAAAAAAAAAAAAAATAGTTAACTTCAAATAATACAACCTGAAAACATGAAACACATATGAAATATAAAATTATCTTTTCATAATTATGTTTGATGTATCGGTAGTATAACTAGAATTTTTATGTCAATGAGGTTAATATTATAGTATTATTTTTTCTAATATTTTGTTATTTAATATAACATTGACAAAATTAAATATATAAAAATATAATGCACAATTTTATATAACTTTTAAATAAATACATACATAATAAAAATTTATTTCAATGATTTCATTACCTGTGAGGGTATATTTTTTATTTAATTTTGTTGTGATATGGATCAAAATGTTAAAAAATAATGTAAGTAGATAAATGATATAGTATTTTTTATTCTTTTTATAATTATATTACATTTGTATTATCAAATAACTAAGTGCGAAATAATTATTACATCAAACAAATCATTTATAAATTCAATCAAATTCATAAGGAAAAAAACTATAACCGTTAAGTTTGGTGACAACAAATTGAAGAAAGAATTTTAATTAAAAATAAGTGAAAATCAAAATCAAAATAAGATTAAAAATATTTAATAAAAAAATCAATAATAATATGTAAAAAAAATTTTTGAATTCGTGAGTTAAATTTATATTTATAGTGAAAGAAAATTATTAGCATTTTAAAATTAAAATAAATGTAAAAAGTAAAGATTAAAATTTATTTTTTACCTTCTTAAAATAAATTTAAAATAAAATTTAATGGTATCAATATAGAAAAACCACTAATTTTTGCATACTAATTACATGTATAGTATTAGCTAATTACATATGTATTATTAAATTTTAAAAATTGAATAGGGTCTATTGGAACGTGACAAGTTTCTTAAGCAAAGAGCCTGCTACGTGTCTACAAAATTCAAGTACGTGGTTACTGATCTCGGCCCTAGTGGAGGTTTTGGGTTATATTTAGGGATGTTTGTTTGTAGAATTTTAAATTTTTGGAGAAAATATAATCTTTAAAAAGTATAGATTTTTAATAAAAAGTTATTTTTTTTAGTATGAGATCATTAGATTTTTGTATTTGGTTGGTGAAAAATTAAATTTTTTAATAATGTATTTTGATTATAATATCTTTTATTATATACAATAAATATAATAATTTATCAATAAAATTAATCGATAAATAATACATTTTAAATCGTAAAAATATAATATTCATGTGTTCAACTATAAAAAAAAAATTAGTCATCAATTACTGTATTAATTGTAGTAATAATTGATTATACACATATTTTAAAAAGATTACGATGAATAATTATTACATTTAGCTTTAAAGAAATACAATAATTGATTATTTTCAAAAAATTACAATGAATAATAATTATGTTTAACTTGAAAAATATAATATTTAAATATTTTTAATAAAATATAATGATCAATTATTGTATTTATCTTTTAAAAAATATAATAATTGAGCTTTTATATGTTTTAAAAAATTACAATAAATAATTATTACATTTAATTTAAAAAAATACAATAATTACTTACTTAAAAAAATTATAATATACACGTTATTGCTTTTAGTTTTAAAAAAATTAATATTTGATTATTTTAAATAAATTATGATAATCACTTATTACACTTATATTAAAAAAAACATAATAAATAAATTTTTTATATATTTTAAAAATTTTATAATAAATAATTACTATGCTGTATTTCTTTAAAATACAATAATTGATTACACCTTGAAAATTTCCAAAAAATGCGGTAGTGTTCTCGTAGCACAGAGAAAAGTTGATTAAGAGTCAATTTGGGCTTTACCATGCTCTACCATTTTCAACGAGGAGGGGATGAAAAGAGAGATGAAAATAAAAGATTCTTCTTTGCAATGAAAGCAGTGATGGCGATGAGGATCCTGAAATGATTTCGTGATAATCACAAGGCAGAAACCTCTCCCACACAGCATCAGAGTCTGCAACTGATCTCAAGGCAGGAAAAACCAAGGCCGATTGACACGTGTTTCGAGTGAAATCAATCATATGTTAAAAAATTCCAATTCAAATATTATATTTTTGTTAAAAAATACAATAAATAATAAAAATTACTATATTTTAAAACATATAAATTCAATATTCGAGTGATAAAATAAAAAAATTTACTACTCAAATACTATGTCAAGTTTTTAACAAACACAATATTTGTATTATTTATTTTCAATACGATATTTGTTAAAAAAAATTAAATTTTTTATAATACATTGATTTTCAAAAGAATAAAATAAAAACAAAATATATTTTATTTAGGTCAATTTTGTGATAAAAATAATTTTCCTTTTTGAATCTTAAAAAATTTCATGAAAAAATGAGTTTTTTATTCCAAAACTTTTAAGTACTATTAAAGAAACTAAAATTATCTCATAAATCATATACTTAAAAACCAAAAGTAAGAATTACACTCTCATAAATACAAATTCTAAAAAAAAATCTCAAATTCTTCGTAACCAAACCTTCTTACGTAAAACAGCATTTGGCGCAAATGAAAGAGAGATTGATTTTGGGCTAAACTCTCTATATAGCGTGAATAAAATGTTATAAAAATGCGTGAAACACATTAGATTCAGGATGGATTAGAGGGTTGGTTCAACTTTCTTTACTTAGGTCCAACTTGAAAATTTTACCAGATCTTTTCTTTTTAATCCACGCCCAACCGATTAGGGAACCATTTTCATTGAAGCATATCTCACAAGTTTTTAAAGATCCATCTGGTCATGAAAAACTCTTTTAAGATCGATCCCTCAAAAAATCCCTTCGTCCGTCAGGTCGTCAAGTGCTTAAATGTCATAAGGGAAATCAATCACCAAGTTGTGAATTATCTGACTTCCATTACAAAAGAAAAGGCCCGTCCATATGTTATACTACTATTATAGCTTCTGATAACTTGGTTAACTACCTATCTAATAACTACATATAATTTCTACAGATAAACCTGCGGAAGCATTTACACTGATGACAATAGCAACACTAAGAAAGTAGCAAGCGAAAGTTCAGAAAAGATGCCTGGCTAAAATAACAGGTAATAAGAAAATCCTGAGCTCCCTAGAATTGTGGACCATGTCCCAGCTTACTGAGCCAAATACATGCTCGTATGCAGGAAACTAGTAATGGTAAGCTAGGTAATGTGCTTAATACCAACCCTTCTATGTCCTCATCCACTTTCTTTCCACCTACCATTTTCTTATGATCAGAAGGAAATATTTGTTGATAATCGGTCAGGTATTATCTGTGTGTTCCATCCATTCATCTTCCTGTGAAAACAGAAGTGGGTCTTCTAATGCCCGAAGTTCATGATGTGATCAACGCTGATAAATCATATTCAAGCTCTCCCAATCTATCTGTGATTAGCATCTAAATTAGAAGGCAGTGATGGCGCCTATCATATACAAACAACATTATAATGATATTCTGGACAACACATATTCACGAGACAAAGGCTCCTGAAGAATTCCTGCACAACTATTCATTCTCGCCCACCCACAACAAGTGTTTCTAAAGACATTCTTTTAGTGCATCTTGAAGCATGACAATGTATATCCCTAGCGGACAAAGTTTTAGCATAATTGTATGATTAGCTTCGTTCTACTAAAGCCAGCACTTCCCTATTCAGGGTCTTATGTTTGCTTTAATTTGTATGCTATGAATTCTTTCTAATGTGGTAAATGACCAAAATCAAAACAAGCTAAAATAGTAGTGACAATATGGCCAAATCATATGAACTAATGTGTTTTTCCTTTTTGTTTTCCTATTTCTTGGATGTGATTTGCATGTGAAATTGAAGCTAAAGAGTGACAATATGGCCAAATCATATCAAATAATGTCTTTTTCCTTTTCTTTTCCTCTTTCTTGCATGTGTACTTGAATTCGTAGCTGAAGAGTGATTTTTAAGGTATTACAACTAATATTTATGTTAAGATCCAATACATACTTAAACATACAAATTATATTCCAGATTCATTTGAATCTTCACTCTTATATACAATTGCATATTTTAATTATCAATTGAAAATTCACCTCCCACCCTCCCTCACGCCTCCGAAGTCCCAAAAAAAACAAAGGGGGTTATGCCCTTTTTCTTTGAAGCTTATCCCTCCCCTCATGGAGGATGAAATGCCTCCTCACTTTAAGCCCACAAAGGGAGGCTTAGAAGAGCAATCTCTCAGCCAAAAGAATATATCTAGAGCACCATTTGAATTAATTCAAGGCTCTTCCAGCTGGTGCCTTTATTATACATCCTTGAAAAGGCTATGCTATCAATAGGAACTATGACTTCATACTTTTGATTCCCAGATACTCAATAAATCACTAATAATATTCTAATAAACACACCATAATGTTATTCTTAGCAATTGCAGTATCTAAAGTACAGATTAGTAAATGATGAACAAAAACCATTAAAATTGACAATGCATCATATACAAAAACCATTAACATTGACAATGCATCATATAATAATCCCGTAACGCTCGCTTCTTCCATTAATTTCAAAAAAATTCCATATTCCCCCAGAGAAAAACACCCCATGGTTACAAATAAACACAAAAGCTATCATTTCTTTTCTATATGTGAACTCAATGTCTCAATCAGGAACTGAAAACAGTAATAGAAGAAATATAATATTCCTTTGTTTTTTCATTATCAGCAACAAGTGAACATTGCCTGACAACAAATCGAACACAATTCTCACTTTTCAATCTTGACAACAGACTAAACTGTTTTTGCACTATCATGAATCGTGCATTTCACTAAAAAGAAGAAATTAATAAACATTGTAAGGACATACCATGCATGAATTAAGGAACCGCGGTAAGCCTAGCTTCAAACATAAATCCGCTGTAAAGCTCATCCCCATTTCCGGGCACCCCATCAATCCACCGCCATTCGCAGCCATCCCAAAGAGCCAACCTCCCCACCTTCTTCCCCGAAAAGCATACCCTATTCCCTCCCCCGAACACTTTAAACTTACTATCCTGAAACCACAGGTGCATCTCCTCCGGCATCCTTGTCGCCTCTTCCCACTCCATTGTTTCCAAATCCAACCTCAATATCAAAATCGTCAAGCAAGATTGATTCAACGAATAACTCAATTTTAACCCCCCAATCATCAAGATTTTGTTCCCATTGCCGCATATTAAACGCGGTCGTTTAATGATATCGAAAATGTCCCCCCATTCGTGCCTTTCCAAACATTCCCAGTTATTGTTCATCACATTTGAATTTAACATGTTTTTGACAGCGCAAGCGAATAATTTCCACTTACTTCTCCACGGCGATCCAACGTCGCAAAGGGCGAAAACAGAGTTGGAAACGAAGATAGGGCTTCGGGGTTTTGAAGGTAAATTTGAAGAGAATTTGAGCCATTGCTGGGTTTTTTGAGAAAAGGAGAAGTAAAGAGCAGCGAGTTCTGTTAAGACCATGACTCCGTTCCTTGAGTCAACTAGCACCGAGCCATGGCGTGACCAGGCCGAGCCGAGTCGAGGGAGGACTCTGTATTGGCGAGTCAAGGGGTTACAAACGATGAGTGACTTGTCCGAGTCAGGCGAGTCAGGTGAGTTGGCCCAGAGGTAAAGTAGGCCGAGTGAAGACGCGACAGGGTGAGGAGATAGGAAGGGAAGAAAATCGAGGTTGAATCGAAGCCACTGGTTTTGATCGGGGTCGTACATGTGGAGGGAAGTAAAAAGGGACACGTGGCGACTGTGATTATGGTGGTAGTGGTGATGAGGGGGACGACGGAGACCGAGGAGGTTGAGATGCGACCGGGTGGAGATGTAGTGGATGAAAGATGAGGACGTCAGGATTTGGTTAAAGAGCTTACATACGGAGCGGCAGATCATGATTTGACGAAGCGAGAGGGAAGAGAAGATCTGGTGAAGGGTGTCCTCCGGAAGACTGTTGATCGGAGAATCCTCCATTTTTTTCGTAGAGAATGAGAATGCGATGCGAAGCAGGGAATCACGGGATTGAAATGCAGGAGGCTTGGTCAGAGTTTGGGGGTAGCGTAAAGAGACCGTGTTTCTTTGTAAACGTGGCCAAGGAGTCGACGGTTTGTCGTTTCAATCTTGAGGTATTTTTTTATTCCCCTAAATTACCCTTGAATGGACCGCCAAAGCATCCAACCTTCTAATCATTTTTGCTGATATTTAAAGTTTTTTAAAGAGTTTTGCTTTTTGGTCCCTCTACTTGCAAAACCAATGTTTTACGTCCACGTGGAATTAACGAATGAATTGAATTTTAATTTTAATTTTATCAAGATATTTATAATTTTTTGCTTAAAAATTATCAAAATTAAAATTGAAAAAAACATTTAATCAAAAGAATACACTGACTAAAATACTCATGAATTAATAATATTAAATTTGTTTTTATAATCCAAGTCAGATAGATACATAGAAACTAGTATTTAAATTTGTTAAAGTTTCGGAAGGTAAGGACAAAATGTTTGTTACAAGAATATTATACCATTTTGGGTTATGCTAATGATGAATCATAAAAAAGAAGAGGGAAAAACTCAGATCTAGTACACGTCTCCAAACAAATTTACCGACTGAGATTTTTTTTTAATTAAAAAAACTTATTTTTAAAAAGGTTCAGTTTCCTTTTACAATGGAAGTCGTTCAGACATCAGTCCAGCTTGATTGATTTGTTCAGTTTTGGACATACCAATCTCTACAGCGCACGTATCTGGACCATTCTTAAATCAGATGGGTGGGTCTGGTTTTGATCGCAACTTTGGATCTGGGTTTGTCAAGAATCAAGATCTCATCTACCAAAGATAAACGACCTATTAGGTTTAATAAAATCAAATGAAAGTGCTACCTTGACAAAGCTTTCTCACTAGTTGGAACAACAATGGAAGTTGATGATTTAGGATTATAACTAATAATACATGGCAAAAATCTATCGCCAACAGTTATACAAATTTAAAGGTGCAAATTTCTGCTAATTACCCACAAAAGAAACAAACTATTGGTAAGGAAAAAAAAAATTTAATCTCCATAATAAGAGCTATTAAATATGGGGATAGAGTTGAAAATAAGAACTTTGGAGTATCCATATTGGAGTTGAGTTGAAGCCGCTCAGAATGGGGCTTGAAGAAACTGAATCTGATTCAGAAACTTCAGTTGGAATGATAAAATTTGCAGCACCTGACAATCACATTTACCTTAACCTAGTTATAGCCGTCAGAAACATGCTTTTTAGTGATTGGAACTGGAAGATATCTAGCATTGATTGACAGAGGAATTCGGTAGAGCATTGGCTAGCCAAGAGAGTCCCTCACAACATTCAATATTTCAACTATTTAAGTTTTCAGCTCGAGGAGTGGTTGGTGCTGCTGGAGTAGCCTTCCCCATTCTTTGTTGATTGCTAGTTTGTAGTTTTCTTCATCCCTTGATCCAAAGAGTATGATATTAAAATCGCCTCATATTAATTTTATCAATCCCCTTCATCAAAGAGAACTTTATAAAATCGTTTTCTCTCTTCCGGGTCAAATAAACCTCCTAACTTATCACCACTATCATCTTGATCAGACATTTCAACATTTCCATCTTTCCTTCTCTCTGACTTTACCAAATTCATGCCTTTCCTCTTCTTTTCCAAATTCACTACATAGCGCCTCTGGTTATATTCGTGAAGCCCCTCCTGCATCAATTCACCAAATTTATTCTTCACAATGACTAGTGGATCCTTATGAACCAATTCTGGCCCATTATAAGCTTCTCTAAGGAGCACAGTGTAAACCTGATACTTATTGGACACGTAAAATATGCCAGGGTGCTTGAGCAACAAAACATTCAATTTCTCAGGTAAAGCAAACTCTCTCTTAAAATGGCCTAGCTTTACAATTGATAACTTCTTCCACAGGGTCAATGACAACAACTCATGCACAATGCTCACAATTCTCTTCTCCATTTCCTTTGATCTCTCCTCTAAACCTCTAGGATTTAAATAAGGTGAGACGTAGGGAATTGCATTAAATTCTTGAAACCTCTGCCATGATTTAACCCAAGATGAAGGTAATGAACATGAAAAACAAGGCTCCAATCCCTGTTTCTGAGCTGAGGCTTCAACAGCAGAAACTGCTAAATCAGGGCTCCATGCCAGAAGTTCAATCTCCATTGAACTCTTCCTCCAACCATTATTAACAAGTCGAAACATATCTGGATACTTGGGTAAAATTCTAATAATGTAGTCATCTGGAAATCCAAAACTGTGTTTCAACTCATTAAGTTTTGTAATATTAAGCCTCTGATTCATGCTCATCATTAACAACTTTGCCAATTTCTGTACAAATACTGGCTCCTGCATATCTTTCACTGATTCTTCCTCTTCAACCAAATGCATCATCCGCTTTGTTAATCTACAATGATACTCATCATTCTCAAGATAAACTTCGAAGCAACAGGGATACTTCTTGAGCCAATTGAGAGCTTTGCCTTGAAGATCAAGAGTCTTAAACTTCTTCTGAAGATGCTTCACAGGTGCCACCTGGTTTGTGCATCTAAGTATTATGTTTTTAATCTGATTGTTGACTATCCAACGACGATTTCGTGAAAGGGCTGATTCAAGATCTGGGTCTTTCTTCATTGACCAAAGAGAGAAGTTTCGAAACTGATAAAGGGAAGGCTGAGAGTAGAGCCTACAGTGGCAACAAGTCAACCCCCAGAAAAATCTTCTACTAATCATCATACTCTACTTAGTATGTCTTTTTTCTCCAAGGCTAGACCTGTTAGGTGCACAGAAAAAAAAATAATAAAAGGAAATCATATCTAACTTTCTCTACCGAAATTAGAAATAAATGAAATGTAACAATTTGCCAAGAGAACATTCCACCAGTTCCTTATAGAGCTGCGCTAAATACTTTTTTTTTTTTACCAGACCTTGCACTAAATACTTAAATACTACAAATATTTCAAAAAAAAAAAAAGAAATATTTAATGCTACAGGCATGTTTATGCCAATGAACCAATGTTCAAAACTTTTGCAAAATTGAGCAACATAAGTCTAATATGTGCTTTAATGCAAGTGCAGAATAAACTTCCATCGAGCAATCCAATTAACAACTTACATTATGCCAAAATTCAAGCAAACATTAAAATATAAAAACAAAAATAAAAAGAAAGGTTCATCACCTAAATGCCAACTAAGAAAACTTTCAATTAAGGTTCTTCACTCTGGAAACAAGAATGAATACCCATTAACTATGAAGCAAACCCATGTCAACAGTATGATTACTTTCTTAATTTTATATTAAAGTAGTTTTGAACAATTCAAGGCCATTTTCAGAACTTTATATTCGACGGCTTTATAATTTAATTAATACTAGTAGAAATGATGGATTTACTACTAATCAAGTTTCTGAAATATCCTTAGAAATCCTAGGAGAACAAGAGCAAAACCAAATTATAGTGTGCTGAATAGGGGAAAGTAGTCAATATATGAAAAGGAAACTAAAGAAAAAGTAGATTTCATCTAGGAAAGACCGTCAAACGGTTCTCATAGGCATTTTCACGAACACCTAATAGAGGAAAGAATCAAACTTTATACGCACATAACTTTTACCTGAATCTGAATGGTTAGATTGGGCTTAGAGAATAATCCTATGAAATTATTCATTTTGGTTGCCGTTTAGGGGAAGAATAAGATAAATCCACTAACTTTAGCGCGTGTATGGCAGAAAGAAAAGAGTGAGAGAAACGCCGACTATCGTTGTATCAACCGGCAGTCATTGGAGTTGATATTTGAAGGTTGCCCGAAGAGCTTATATTCTTAATATTCTCTACAAGTAAATATATAGCAGGATAAAAAATTTAAAGATAAATTAAGAACTTTCAAAAAAATAAAAAAAGAGAGAAACGAGGAAACGATAAGAGGGAAATGAGCTGAGAGCGTCAGCACTGATGAAGCGCCGGTTGTACTCTTTCCACTAAGAAATAATTTTAAGTGCTTTTCTTTCAATTTGTTAAAATACCACCATTTCCTGTTCATTTATTTTATTTTTTTGGCCAAGAATTTCCTTTTCGATCGTAAGAATTCTTATATTTTTTAAATTTGGAAAATTAATAAAAACAATAAAAACATGTTTTTTTTCTCAACAATTTTTATTTTCCTAATATTCGTCACAAAAACTTGACCAACCGGACCAAGTGAAGAGCTTCACTGTAATTGACGAATGACATGCCTATGTTGAAAAGCTTTCCTGACAGAAAGCAAAGACAAATGCATGAATGCAGATTTCATTTTCGAAAAGTGATGATATTATCTTTTTCCTTCAGTATCTAAACATATGAAAATTGAATTAGAATGTCGATCCCACAGCAAATACACAACATAAATGGTGATGATGCACATCGGCTGAAACAGACAACCAGAAAAATAACCTCCCTTCATTTTTGCCCAGAGTCGTTACAAAAGCAACCAGGTTTACCACTTCCGGCCTTTTTTTTTTTTTAAACTAAATTTTGTTTTCCAATTTGAAGCACGATGTCCCCCAAGTCCAAACACCAGAAGGCCCAAAGGATCCCTCATACGGTTCATATACATTCAGACTATACTAGGGGGATCACCCACCCAATTACAAACAGCACGAGGCCAGCGCGTTCTGATGCAGTCCACCAATGGTGCATGCTGAGGAGGTTCAGGTTTAGCCACTTCGGTGCCTTTCCCACTTGATTCACTATCAGCAGAACCAGATGGAACTGCTACATCTGCCATGAATTCCTCCGGCATCCACCTTGGGGGTACTGAAACCCTCAATTTTGTAAGCCTGGGTCTTTGTATAGGAGTCTCACCTCCAGAAGTTGCTTGGCTGCCATTCAAATCTGATTTTGCTATCCCATTAAAATGGTAAAGATCAAATATTTTTCTACCCATCTGTCCGGTTGAATCCTTAAGACCTCCCAAACTATTGTCTAAATCTAAAATAACCTGCCAAAACTCGCTCCACACAATGAAGCCTGAGCTGCAAAGGCTATCGAGTTTTTCAGATGGAAGTCTAATATTCATCCCTCTGAGTACCTGATGGAAACCTTCCACACTAATGAAACCACCACCTCCACTCTGATCTTGGGCATCAAAAGCTTTCCGGATCTGTGATTCTCTTTCTTCCAGTTCATTCTCATCTTGAACAGCTGTATCCACAGCAAATAGGACCGTATAATGGGACTCACTCCCAACAACCCATATTGGCCATTTTGGGCATTTTAGATTTTGGCCAACCTTACAAAAGTTAAGGGATTCTAGTAGAGTGAGGAATCCAACTTCCACATTTGTAGATACACCCTTCAGAAACATGCCACCACCTAAATCCATCCTTCCGTCAAACACATTTGGAACAGCTTGCCCACAGAGCAATAGGTTCACAATTTCCTGAAATAATGTTACATAAAATGCAATTACAAAGCAAAAACTCATCTAAGAGAGCAACATAGAGACTTAATAATGGAAGAATCAAATTTAAGATATCAACGTCCCATCCATTCAAAGGATATGTACAATTTTATGTACCTGAGAAGCATGCCCAAACGGTGCAGTTACTAGAGGAAGGCTAGGATCATCTCGGTCAGCCTGAACACAGTCCTAGATAAAATTAGGATGCACATATGTCATTAGATACTTGTTCAAACAAAATAGTCCCAACATAAAGATATATGCTTGCTCTTAAAGTAAAGACAACAAGAACAGCAACGACAGAAAATCATTATCTAGCTATCAAAAAATTGATGCATAAATAAAGACAAAATGGGTTTCTTCAAGTCTTCAAGCAAACAAACCCACCAATCCTCGAGAAAGTAAGGCAGATATAAGGAATAGCAATGCTCCCATGCGACTTTGAAAAACTGGAATCATTGCTTCAAGCCTCTCAAAGGCACTTGCCGGTGTTGTGTATGTGTCAACTCTTAAAACCTTCTGCAAATCAGAAGCTGATTCAATTGAAAGACCATCAAGTGCTTGTGCAATGATCTGTACGATAAAACAAACACTTATCAGCAACTAAGAACACATAAAACATTATACACAATAAAATATTAACATAATAACAACATATTCAGGTCAACCCAAATCCACTTACCACATCCTTTGAACTGTCTACAGATCCTTCAACACCATGGCCAATAGAACTCAAAGTTGCAATCACAGCTCTTTTATTATTTCCACATAAAAACAATATCTCACCCATACTTTTAACTAGGGTTCTGTCAACAGAAACAAAATTTTAAATTGAGATAGATAACAGAACAAACAATTAATGAATTGCAAAGCGGCTATAAAAAAAAAAAAAAAAACAAATATTCCTTTCAAATTGATTATTCCAGAAATGAAGTAAAACATAAAAGATACCCCTAACAGTTCACATTACAAACAATCATGAATGTCCATTCAGATTTGTCACAAGATTTCACATTACATCAGATCTTGACATTCTTGGATGGCCATTCATGAAAATGAGCTAACACCTTCAACCAAACCAAAACACAGCAAAGATGCAAATACACCCCATAGCCCTTTAGGCCAAATTTCATATGCAGATATGCCTGTGCAAACACATGTAGTAAAAGAAATTGCACATGCAACTTGACTGCTAAGGTTAAGATCAGGAAACCACACTTTTTTTTTAATGATTTTCTAATGGCAAACAAGAATTTAGCAACCATAAAAATAAAAGCAAACAACCGAACTGAATTTCAAAGAAACTCAATAGAAGAAAACACCAAGACATGCAAGTGGTAATTTGAAGATTAACATAACAAAAACAAATATGACAATTGGCAGGAAAAAAGATGAACATTGTTGGGTAGAATGTAATTAATACTACCTGAACAGTTTAACTCCATTCTTTAGATGAAACATAAAGCTAGAAAAAATTTAAAATGCAAATGATAAATTAAAAGCATGTGTCTTTGTGCGGTTTAGCTTATACTGTACAATTTACAGTAATAAATCTAATCACCTTGATTTTGCATCTTCAGTAAAAGCAGCAAAAATATTTGATGCAACATAATGGTTTTTGGATAATCTCCTGGAAGTCAAATTCTCTGGCATGCTTTGCGCAGCTTTAACTAATTCATCCGGAAAGAAAAGAAGATGTTTGAGAACAAATGCCTGTATAGAAAGACAGATATTAATTTCAGCAATAAGAGTATTGACTATTATCATGAGGTAAACATCAGAACAAACAGAAATATTGTAAGGCTATCAAAGAAGGAGGCTACTCATAAGATCTAGGCCCAACCTAGAAACTATCCGGTGGTGTCAACTCAACATGTATCTCAAAGAATCTTAACTAGCAATTAATATCTTATGTCAATTGCATAAAAAGTAAGAAAAGTGCAGCATTGGCTAAATAAACAGTTTAATTCTAAAGTTCAGATTCATGTAATTATAGTTAAGGTGGATACAACATTCAGTAACATATTGAAACAACATTCAATATTATGAGTACTATATTAATAGACTAGCAATTAAAACAAGCTGTCCCAACGAAGGAATATTCTTAACAAATTTTAGTGGGTGTACTAGTGTCACTGTAGAATATTAGAACATTCCAAAGATATAATGATAAGTAAGTTCTGGTGTTACATAAGAAAACATATAATTTTCCAATGCTTAGGAACTTCAAATCGCACAAAACAATTAATCAACAATTCACATGCTGCCTGCTGCAAGAAACTCACATAACCAAGAAATTAAGGAATTACTTGTATGGTTGCTAAGACACCACAGGGCCCACCTTCATGCTGCACTAGGCCCATAGATGTTTCTGGATCAAGGCTAAACCTACAGGATTTTTCTTCATGTATTAGCCAATAAAAAACAAGCATATGAAACTTCCAGAAGATTGCTAACCATTGGTACTCAGCTAAAGAAATTGACATATTTCCATGAAAATACAAATCCAAAATGCAAGAAGACAAGAACTAACATCCATGAGTTTTCAATGAAGAATAACACGTCTACCACCAGACTCTGCTAACCAGTAACTACCAAGCTCAGTTCGTAACAGTTATACTAGAAAATGATGGGACATATAGAAGAAACAGTTTTAATCAATCAATTGCAAATCCATCAATAGGTTTCTAATCTGAGCTAGTATCCTTAACCAATCAATATCCATAAACACAGAGATAAGCAATTAAACCAAAATTTCCCCTCAAAATACTATCTATACTTAGTATTTTACAATAAAGAAAATCAGGGAGGAAGTTTTGCAATTATGGGAATAATTATAAAAGTGAACTGCATTACATGAATAAAATCACCTCATACAAGAACAATACCTCAATATTTTAATTCTGGCTCATTTACAATTCCCCCACCTGCACACCCACCCATCCATTCACCCAAACACACACACACAAAAGAAAACAGAAAAACATCTTTTTCGATGAAGGATTACATTTTCAGGGACTATTCATAATAATTCTTATACGAAGGTTTCATGCCAATGCATTCTTGATTCAGAGACATTTTACAATGCGATTGGACTTTCTTTTATTGTGCCTTGAGAACAAGAGACTTTATTCATGAATTATCTTTGCACTCGCAGCATTATTAGTCTGTAATCTGATTAAAACCCTTAGCATTCCAGATAACCAGAGAAATGATTTTTATAGCACCTCATAACTGTATACGACATATTTACAACTCATGTCTAAGATCCTTTGATATAAAATTTCCTGTCTCCCACGCTTCTTACCAGTTTTAAATCACATATCAGTATACATCACATCAAAAGATATGTTCCAATATTTATATTCAAACAAGGTGTAAACTTCTGTATTTTGTAAACTGACTTATACAGCCAGGGTGATTAGGATTTTATGTGTTACTGTCTAGGATTATTACGAGTGATCAGATAGAAAATTTTAACAATAAGAAATGTAAAATTAAAACACATATTCAAAGAATATAAAGGGTGATCAGATAGGAAAATTTAACTTAAAGAAATATTAATTAAAACTGGTATTCTACTAATTAAGTCTTGGGTGAACCAACCTTAGCACACATTTTAAACACTTTTGAAGGATGGTATAATTGCGCTCCAAAATCAATCATTTTAGCCTTTTACTGGTTGTTTCTTCATTACAGGTATTTAAATATATAGTTTGTAAGGAGGAAAACATACTCATCTACAAGTTATGAAAGTTATTTGCCAAGAAAGGCTCTATAACAACTTTAAAAAAAGTTTTCATTAATGACACAAAGTATTGTATTTTGGAGCCTTAATGTTACTTCTAAAAGTCTTAAAGTTGATAGAAGACAAGTTAAAGATATTCAGGAATGGTCAGCTCCTACCACATTACATCAAGTTCAAAGTTTCATCTGTTGGCAACCTTTTATCGCATTTGATTGGGAATTTCAGCTCTATAATGATATTCATCACCGACTGCATGAATGAAAAGCACTTTACTTGAGCATCTCTATGATCTTTGAAGCGGCTGGTGATGCATCATGTGAGAATTGGTGTGCTTTCCCAAGATAATCACCCAAGTGCTTATTTTAAAAAGCAACAAAATGAACCAAAACATATGTATCTTAACTTATGAGAAGGAATTCTACAAATGATCCAAGCACATGCTCACCTCATTGCTTGTATAATGAGAAACTAAATAAATAAAACAAAGAGTTCAACTTATGAGAGAAATTGCACATTAAGGTCCAAGCACATTGCCTCAAGTGTTACTGATTGATTCTTAAAGATTAAGCACAAGGATAAAATTGATGAAAAGGCAACTGATTCACTTAGCCAAGGTTGTATAAACTATAAACCTCTATTTCTATCTTCCTACTTATGGCCTTTGATTTCCTTGGGAGACTACCCATCCTGCAAAATCGTAGCATCATATATTCATATTTATTAGCTGCAGAACATGCAGATTATCCTGAGTTTCCCCTATAAAGTACCATCTCTTAAAGAGAACTTATCATCGTTTGCCAAACACATCCAGATGTGAAGAGCTCGTTTGAAAATTGCATTCCCTAGTGGCAACATGACACTTGGACAAGATAAGAACATTACAAGGATTGAGCCACCATTTGGACCTAGTTTGAAAAGGAATATTAGCAGGATTGTTGACCATGGTCAGACTTGTCAAACATAAAAGTAGAGAAAGCAAAAGTCACAGGTTCATATATCCCATTGGCAACACCAACACAAGCCACAGAAGAATTTAACTAAGGGGAAAGTTTATTAAATTCATGGAAGGAGACATGGTTTTGGCGTGGGTTAGACCTGAAAAGTAATCTAAATGTGCAAATGAGGAGCTTCATTCAATTAAAGTTCATCCCTATGAGACTTTTATGGAAGGTAGACATGGTCTTGGCGTGGATTAGAGCTGAAAGGTACCCTAAATGTGCATATAAGGAGCTTCATTCAATTGAAATTGGTCCCTACAAGATTTTCATGAAAAGTAGCTTAAACATTTATGTGCTTGACTTGTGTAATTGCATGGGAATGAGCAATGTCGTTGACTTCATACCATAATAATGAAGAAGCACCTAATGATGCTATACTGTTACAAGGCTTTCTCCTATCGCACATAGTAAGGAGGGATTGAAGACATTGTTGATCAGTAAGTGGTTTCTACTCGAGGGAGTAGGCATAAAAAAGTTCCACTATATAAAAGTTGCAACTTGATGCTATATAGTATATTTAAATATAGCAGCCAATTTATCCCGTGATCAATATCCTTTACCACCATATTTAATGGAAATTCAATTGAGCATTGAATATCATTTCTTTTCCTCGCTCCTAGTTTCTCAGCAGTAATTTGATATTGAAAAAAATAAAAACTAAAATCTTAAAGTATGAGTAAAAAGCTAGACTTTACCTTATCCCCTGATTGCTCCACTGAGCAAGTATATCCTTCGAAACACCACTCCCAAAAACCATCAAAAATAACTGATAAGCTTCTTCCTCCGACAATTCATTACCCAAATTCACTTCTTTAGCTTTTATTTCCATCTCTTTCCTTCCTAAATCTCCGCCCCTTTCGCTCTTCGAAGGGGAACTAGAAGCCGGAACGTTTTTAACAGCCGCCAGCATCCGTTTCTCAGCTGCGGTTGCCATGAGTTCACGCTGCAACCGTCGGCTCTCCTCCGGCGTCTTCGTCGTCGCTAAGTTGGCAGCTTCTCTCGGCCTGCTACTCTTCGGCTCTGGCGGCGAGTTTTGCATACTCATCCGCAGAGCCATTCTCAGGTCCTCTTCTTCTTGTTGATCCGCCATTTGATAACCACCGTCGGATTAAATTTTAGCTATCTAAGGTTTCTAAATAATTGATTTTATATGAATTCAACAAAACTATTTCAGATGGTTATGAATTTGATTTTGATTAAGATTCTATAAATGATAAACAAAATAAAAGGGTTTGGATTTTCTAAAAACCACTAAAAAACAAATAAAGGTTTCGCATTTCAGGCCAACTGGAACGAAATGGACGTCAAAGCAAATGGAAATTTATTTTTCAATAAAAAAAAAAAGGCAAATGGAAATTTCGCAAAAACGAAGAACGATAGATTTAAAATGTTTGATAGGGTTAAAATAGGAAAGTGACCCCTTAAGGGAAAAAATTGAAGGTGGTCGCCCGCCGGTTAACTTTTGATTCGATGTCTTGTGGCCAAAGGAAAAAACTTTAATACGATGTCGCTTTAAAGTCGGACGGCATATTGAATTACCATTTCGGCCCTTACGTGCCGTACTTAAAGCGGGGTTAGTTATTACTTAAGTGGGAGTGAATTTTGGGCAAAAAGGTTAGCGCATTTTGGGGTGATATGCGTGATGCTTTACATATGCCTAGGTATAATTTATTTAATTTGAATTGATATAATATTAAGTTTAAATTTTACTTGAAATTTGAGGTTCAAAATTTTACTTTAAATTTGATTAAATTTTATTTTTTTAATTCAAGCTTGATTTGCGATAAAAATTAAGTTTAATTAATTATACTCGAATAATATGTAAAAATAAATTTGATTTTTATATTTAATAAAAATTTGATTATTTGTACTTAAACTTGAATTCAAATTTAAAATATTTTATTAATTAAAATAATTAAAATATATTAAAATATAAAAATTTAATTAAATTTATGAGCAATTCGAATCAGTTATTAGAATGCTCGAATTAAACTTAATTGATAAGTCGAGCTATTCAAGCTCAGCTCGACTTGGTAATAATTAAGTTTAATTCGAATTTTATTCAAATTAAACAAGAATAACTTGTGAGTATTAATATATCATTTACACATCTACTTGTGACAGAAAGAAAATAGGAAAATCTAAATATACCTTTTTTTTATACGTTTTAATTTTTCTTATATTTTTTTATAAGTGAAATTATTTAAATATTTTTATTATAAGTTTTATAACTTTTAGATATATATTTTTGAGAAATTATAATACTTTTCAAAAATGGATTTATAATAGTGTTAAAAGTGAAATGTTATAATAATTATAAAAAAAAATTTATTAAAATTATTTATAAATAAATGTAATAAAAAAGTTATTATTAAAAAATTATAAATTTTAAAATTAATAATAAAGTTATTTTTATTATTTTCATTTTAGAAAAAAAAAATATCTTATAAGACCCTAATTAAATTAAAGATAAAAGCAAATATAATTTTTTATAAATTTAAAATTTATCATTTTTTAATAAATATTTTTATATCTATTATTAAAATTTTATAATAGCTTTAAGTAAACTGAATTCTTTTAAGAAGTCTTTTTCTTTATTTATCATGATGGATTTTTTTTAATTAGCATATTAGGTATTGTTTGGTTTCAAAAAATAAAGTCATTTTTTGTTTTTATTTTCTTGAAAAATAAAAAATATAAGTAAAAATGTGTTTGGTAATTGAAAATGAAAAAAAAAATTTAAAAATAAAAATTGGTTGAAATATGAAAATAAAAAAATTTATTTTCAATTGGTAAAATAAGAGATATACATTACTTGTTTCCTATATTTTTTAAGTTACCATATTTGAACACTTTTTTATGTCATTAATTAATAAATAATATTTATAATTAGATACCATTAATACTAATATCATTGAATTTTTATTTATTTCATTATTTTTGTATTTTTAAAAAATAATTTTTATTTTTATTTACCAAATATATTTTTTAGAAAACAAAAAATAAAAATATTTTCTAAAAAATAAAAATAAAAATATTTTATCAAACCAAATAAAACCTTATATTTTAACAAAATTGTATAATATTCAATATTTATATAATTTTAAAAAATTTTAACTCTTATATATTGATCAAACTTTATAATTTTTTCTTCATCATCAATAACATCAAAAGATAAAAATATTTAATTAAAACTTCATCAAATTTTATTTTTTTTAAATCAAAATAATAACAATAACTTTTTTATTAATTTTAAAATTTATGAATGTTTTTTATAATAATTTTTCGTTATATTAATTTATAAATAATTTTAACAAAATTTTATTTTTTGTATTTTTTTATAAAATTTTTCTTTTTCACTTTTACAACTTCTCAAAAATTTATTGAAGTATTATGATTTTTTAAAAATATATTTTTAAAAAAATGTTATGATATATCAAAAATAATAAATATTCGAAAATTTATAAAAAAAATATTTAAATAATTTTATTTATAAAAAATTTAAAAAGTGAGATATAAAGAGAAAAAGATGGAATACAATTTAAAAGTCTCCGGAGGCTAGGCGTTATTTGTTGTTGCTGGGGTGTTAGGGAATCTATGGTGCGGAGTGTATCTTGTGATTCGGAGCAAGACGGTAGGGTCCCACTGGTGGTGAGCTGGAAAAATGATTTTTCTGTGTTAATCACCACTAATTCTTGATTATCTAAAGATTTGAGTTGGATTTTATTCTTAATAATTAACAAATTAATTAATTATTCAAAGCAAATCTTGCGACCTATAAAATTTGTAACTAAACGCAATCAAATATAAATTAATTAATAAACCATATTTGTTATTCATTTTGACAAATTAATTACTTCAATTTTTGTTGGGAGTTATTAGAATAGTGAAGATATAATTTGATGGAGCCATTGAGAGTTGTCCATTCGCTTGACCTAAGCTTTGAAAACCAAGCCCAAGGTAAATCACGTCATCATATATTTAAAAATAGCAATACATCTTATACTAATATTATGTGTTTATTCTTTAGGTTTATTTTTAATTAAATTTAAATAAAAATATAAACAATTTCGGCAAAAAATTTCATCAAAAAATCCATTAAGTGCAATGAAATTTTGATGAATTTTTTTATTTTATAATTTTTTATTTTTAATTTTTAGCAAAAGAATTTTCAGCAAAAAAATCACCATTTATATGGTTACACCATTTTTGTTTCTAAGTCAGTCCCAAAAAATTAGTTCCGCTTTACCGCACTTTATTTATGCATTATGTATTTTTTTTAGTTTTTTTAGCAAATATAATTAATTTTGATAGCTTCACTCATCCCATTCGAGGTTGGATTAATTTTACGATTAGTTTTCTCCATGACTACCATTGCTACATTGATATACAATAGTTTTGGTGACAATGGAGCACATAATATTATTATTATTATTGGTTAATATTGACCCAAGTATAGGCGCTAAGCCATGATTCAATTGCCACATGGACTAAACTTAAGATGAATTGTTAAATTCAGTATCATTGATGCCAACGATTTCCATCCATATCAAGCTGAATTGATCGATCTAACTTACAGTTGAGTTTTAAGGACTAAATTGCACATCATAAAAAACAGCAGGGGCTTAAATGCACAATCAAGAAAACTTTGAGATATATTTATATTAAAACTTTCCTCTTCAAAGGCAAAATACGTGTCGTTTTTGTTTCCGTTTCAAAGGCTCAAATATATCGGACAAATTCAAAATCCATTCTTCGTAATTGATCAGATCTAAGCAAAAGGCTAACAGGAAGTTCGCCAGAATGTCAAGCGACAGCGATGACGAAGATGAGCTCCTCCAAATGGCATTGAAAGAGCAAGCCCAACGGGATCTCAATTACCAGAAACTGCCTTCCTCCAATTCCTGCAAACCAGTGGCCAACTTCGTTCAACCTCTGCCACAGCAGCCGAGGACTGCTTTCAAGGCTCAGAAGGCTCCGGCTACCCCGGCCTTGAAAGAGCCTGCTGGGAGAAACATGTCGATGGATGATGACGAGGATTCGGAAGTGGGATGCTGAGCATTTCGAGTGGAGATAAGGATCCTGGAAAAGATCCAAAGGGAGGAGTCGAATGAAGGAGTAGAGGGAAAGGAAGCAATGACGACAACGGAGCCTGGGACGGAGAAGAGCCTAATTGCTGGAAACGTGTCGATGAAGCTGAGGTACTTTTCAGTGAAATTTAAATTCAAAGTAATTATTGACCAATGTTTTAGCTTAGAAAGGGTTCTTCTTTGATAGCTTGCTCGTAAGGTTCGTGAGATGAGAGAGATGAGAACAGCTCCGGTGGCACAAAAGTTCGAGCGTAAACCGTCAGCACCAGTAGGGAAAATTCTTAACAATCTTCAATCCTTCCCTCGGGGCTTGGAATGTGTTGATCCACTTGGACTGGGGTAAATCTTTAGCATCTTTGTATAGCTTGATATTCATTTATTGTTTGTTTTAAAAGAATTCACGTTATGTTAGTAATTGTACTAATGCGATGATATGAATAGTTGACTTGTCGTTCTCTTTTCTAGCATTGACTTAAGTCAGTGGTTGGTCATTGTTCTTCTGCCATAACTATTTCTGCTAACCTTTATGTTCTTGGATTGTCAGAATAATAGACAACAAGACGTTATGGTTGATCACTGAGGCGTGAGAAAGCTCTCCATCAAAATCTGATGGAGATTTGACGGATAGTGGCCTTCATGTTTTTTTTTTTCGCTTGTTTTAGTCCATATATTTTCTGTAGATTATAGTTTGTCATAGTCTCTTTAGTCTTTTCAGTTAAAGTTCCTTGCCGTTTCTAATTAGTTTCTCTAAGAATTATGTCAGTATCATGGTCTAGAACTGTATATCTGCTATCTAAAATACATATTTACTACATGCCCCTGGGTTCTTGCCTTTCTCTGAGCACTCAAAAGTTCAAATTCTTCAAATTTGAGTTTATGTCAGTGAAAGTCATTGCTCATTTTTATCTTGAACTTAGCAATGCTATCATTGTCTGAACTTGATTTCTGTGATTCCACAACTTTTTTTGTAATGTTTATGTAATTCATAAACAATTGATCTTATTCCAACTATACCACAGGATGAATTTGTGAGCACGTTGACTTTTTCCTTTCAATTTAATTCCTTTCCCCTTTTCCCCTCCAGTAGACAGTGATTAGTTCAAAAATATCAAAAGATCTGAGGTGGATACTTTTTTTGTTATTTGTCATTGTTTATAAATGAAGATTATTTGAATGTTGTAAATTCAAAAAATCAGTTAATGTTTTCCATTGTGATAAATAATGGCTGGAGTTATTATCAAATTTTTTTTTTTGCCTATAGAATTATGTGGTTTTGAAAGTGAATTATATTCTTGAAGTTTGTTGATTGGTAAGCAATTTTTCACTAGTATCATTCATGTGAT